AGTATAGTGTGGTGAGACCTATGCTTACTATAGTTAGATCAGCATTATTAATGATTGCTATATGTTATATGTTTTGCAGTAGTGTGGTGAGGCCCATGCTTATTGTAGTTAGATCAGCATTATTAATGATTGCTGTATGTTATATGTTTTGCAGTATATTGTGTTTAGGCCCATGTTTACTTTAGTTAGATCAGCATTATTAATGATTGCTGTATGTTATATGTTTTGCAGTAAAGTATGGTGAGGCCCATGCTTACTATAGTTAGATCAGCATTATTATTGATTGCTGTGTTATATGTTTTGCAGTATAATGTGGTGAGGCCCATGCTTACTATAGTTAGATCATCATTATTAATGATTGCTTTATGTTATATGTTTTGCAGTATAGTGTGGTGAGACCCCTGCTTACTATAGTTAGATCAGCATTATTAATGATTGCTATATGTTATATGTTCTGCAGTAGTGTGGCGAGGCCCATGCTTACTATAGTAAGATCAGCATTATTATTGATTGCTGTGTTATATGTTTTGCAGTATAATGTGGTGAGGCCCATGCTTACTATAGTAAGATCAGCATTATTAATGATTGCTGTACGTTATATGTTTTGCAGTATAGTGTGGTGAGGCCCATGTTTACTATAGTTAGACCAGCATTATTAATGATTGCTGTATGTTATATGTTTTGCAGTAAAGTATGGTGAGGCCCATGCTTACTATAGTTAGATCAGCATTATTATTGATTGCTGTGTTATATGTTTTGCAGTATAATGTGGTGTGGCCCATGCTTACTATAGTAAGATCAGCATTATTAATGATTGCTGTACGTTATATGTTTTGCAGTATAGTGTGGTGAGGCCCATGTTTACTATAGTTAGATCAGCATTATTAATGATTGCTGTATGTTATATGTTTTGCAGTATAGTATGGTGAGGCCCATGCGGACTATAGTTAGATCAGCATCATTAATGATTGCTGTGTTATATGTTTTGCAGTATAATGTGGTGAGGCCCATGCTCACTATAGTTAGATCAGCATTATAATGATTGCTGTGTTATATGTTTAGCAGTATAGTGTGGTGAGGCCCATGCGGACAATAGTTAGATCAGCATTATTAATGATTGCTGTATGCTATATGTTTTGCAGTATAGTGTGGTGAGGCCCATGCTTACTATAGTTAGATCAGCATTATAAATGATTGCTTTATGTTATATGTTTTGCAGTATAATGTGGTGAGGCCCATGTTTACTATAGTTAGATCAGCATTATTAATGATTGCTGTATGTTATATGTTTTGCAGTATAATGTGATGAGGCCCATGCTTACTATAGTTAGATCAGCATTATAAATGATTGCTTTATGTTATATGTTTTGCAGTATAATGTGATGAGACCCATGCTTACTATAGTTAGATCAGCATTATTAATGATTGCTGTATGTTATATGTTTTGCAGTATAATGTGATGAGGCCCATGCTTACTATAGTTAGATCAGCATTATTAAAGATTGCTGTATGTTATATGTTTTGCAGTATAGTATGGTGAGGCCCATGCTTACTATAGTTAGATCAGCATTATTAATGATTTCTGTGTTATATGTTTTGCAGTATAGTATGGTGAGGCCCATGCGGACTATATTTAGATCAGCATTATTAATGATTGCTGTGTTATATGTTTTGCAGTATAGTGTGGTGAGGCCCATGCTTACTATAGTTAGATCAGCATTATTAATGATTGCTTTATGTTATATGTTTTGCAGTATAGTGTGGTGAGACCCCTGCTTACTATAGTTAGATCAGCATTATTAATGATTGCTATATGTTATATGTTTTGCAGTAGTGTGGTGAGGCCCATGCTTATTGTAGTTAGATCAGCATTATTAATGATTGCTGTATGTTATATGTTTTGCAGTATAGTGTGGGGAGGCCCATGCTTACTATAGTTAGATCAGCATTATTAATTATTGCTTTATGTTATATGTTTTTCAGTATAATGTTGTGAGGCCCATGCTTGCTATAGTTAGATCAGCATTATTAATGATTGCTGTATGTTATATGTTTTGCAGTATAGTGTGGGGAGGCCCATGTTTACTATAGTTAGATCAGCATTAATAATGATTGCTGTATGTTATATGTTTTGCAGTATAGTGTGGTGAGGCCCATGCTTACTATAGTTAGATCAGCATTATTAATGATTGCTGTGTTATATGTTTTGCAGTATAGTGTGATGAGACCCATGCTTACTATAGTTAGATCAGCATTATTAATGATTGCTTTATGTTATATGTTTTGCAGTATAGTGTGGTGAGACCCCTGCTTACTATAGTAAGATCAGCATTATTAATGATTGCTATATGTTATATGTTTTGCAGTAGTGTGGTGAGGCCCATGTGGACTATAGTTAGATCAGCATTATTAATGATTGCTGTATGTTATATGTTTTGCAGTATAGTGTGATGAGACCCATGCTTACTATAGTTAGATCAGCATTATTAATGATTGCTGTATGTTATATGTTTTGCAGTATAGTGTGGTGAGGCCCATGCTTACTATAGTTAGATCAGCATTATTAATGATTGCTGTATGTTATATGTTTTGCAGTATAGTGTGGTGAGGCCCATGCTTACTATAGTTAGATCAGCATTATTAATGATTGCTGTATGTTATATGTTTTGCAGTATATTGTGTTGAGGCCCATGTTTACTATAGTTAGATCAGCATTATTAATGATTGCTGTGTTATATGTTTTGCAGTATAATGTGGTGAGGCCCATGCTATTTATAGTTAGATCAGCATTATTAATGATTGCTGTATGTTATATGTTTTGCAGTATAGTGTGGTGAGGCCCATGCTTACTATATTTAGATCAGCATTATTAATGATTGCTGTATGTTATATGTTTTGCAGTATAGTGTGGTGAGGCCCATGCTTACTATATTTAGATCAGCATCATTAATGATTGCTGTGTTATATGTTTTGCAGTATAGTGTGGTGAGGCCCATGTTTACTATAGTTAGATCAGCATTATTAATGATTGCTGTATGTTATATGTTTTGCAGTATAGTATGGTGAGGCCCATGCGGACTATATTTAGATCAGCATTATTAATGATTGCTGTATGTTATATGTTTTGCAGTATAGTGTGATGAGACCCATGCTTACTATAGTTAGATCAGCATTATTAATGATTGCTGTATGTTATATGTTTTGCAGAATAGTATGGTGAGGCCCATGCGGACTATAGTTAGATCAGCATTATTAATGATTGCTGTATGTTATATGTTTTGCAGTATAGTGTGGTGAGGCCCATGTTTACTATAGTTAGATCAGCATTATTAATGATTGCTGTATGTTATATGTTTTGCAGTATAGTATGGTGAGGCCCATGCGGACTATATTTAGATCAGCATTATTAATGATTGCTGTATGTTATATGTTTTGCAGTATAGTGTGATGAGACCCATGCTTACTATAGTTAGATCAGCATTATTAATGATTGCTGTATGTTATATGTTTTGCAGAATAGTATGGTGAGGCCCATGCGGACTATAGTAAGATCAGCATTATTAATGATTGCTGTATGTTATATGTTTTGCAGTATAGTGTGGTGAGACCCATGCTTACTATAGTTAGATCAGCATTATTAATGATTGCTATATGTTATATGTTTTGCAGTAGTGTGGTGAGGCCCATGCTTATTGTAGTTAGATCAGCATTATTAATGATTGCTTTATGTTATATGTTTTGCAGTATAGTGTGGTGAGACCCCTGCTTACTATAGTTAGATCAGCATTATTAATGATTGCTTTATGTTATATGTTTTGCAGTATAGTGTGGTGAGACCCCTGCTTACTATAGTTAGATCAGCATTATTAATGATTGCTTTATGTTATATGTTTTGCAGTATAGTGTGGTGAGACCCCTGCTTACTATAGTTAGATCAGCATTATAAATGATTGCTGTATTTTATATGTTTTGCAGTATAGTGTGGTGAGGCCCATGCTTACTATAGTTAGATCAGCATTATTAATGATTGCTGTATGTTATATGTTTTGCAGTATAATGTGGTGTGGCCCATGCTTACTATAGTTAGATCAGCATTATTAATGATTGCTGTATGTTATATGTTTTGCAGTATAATGTGATGAGACCCATGCTTACTATAGTTAGATCAGCATTATTAATGATTGCTTTATGTTATATGTTTTGCAGAATAGTATGGTGAGGCCCATGCGGACTATAGTAAGATCAGCATTATTAATGACTGCTGTATGTTATATGTTTTGCAGTATAGTGTGGTGAGGCCCATGTTTACTATAGTTAGATCAGCATTATTAATGATTGCTGTATGTTATATGTTTTGCAGTATAATGTGATGAGACCCATGCTTACTATAGTTAGATCAGCATTATTAATGATTGCTGTATGTTATATGTTTTGCAGTATAATGTGATGAAACCCATGCTTACTATCGTTTGATCAGCATTATTAATGATTGCTGTATGTTATATGTTTTGCAGTATAATGTGGTGAGGCCCATGCTATTTATAGTTAGATCAGCATTATTAATGATTGCTGTATGTTATATGTTTTGCAGTATAGTGTGATGAAACCCATGCTTACTGTATCCCAACAGTTGAAAGAATTGTTTCACATTTTGTTATCCATAAGCCTTTTTTATAACTCTTTTCGCTTAATATACGGTATGGGTTTAACTCTTTAAAGGCAGTATCTGAATATGGTGACCTGCCACTGTTCACATCTGTGTCCTTTGGTAATTTTTGCGGATAGTATCATCTTATTTTCATATGAATATCGTCAAAAATTGAACTTGAATTCATATTGAAGTCGGTTCTGATGCGTGACATCGTTTGGACCTGAGCTAGCCATACTTCCCTAAAATAATCACCAGATTTTTCAATAAAAATGGTGAATAAAAGCCCCATTAAAAAGAGAAAATCGTAAAATGAGCTTCTTTTCTACTTGCTTAAAATAAAAATGAAAGGTCTTTTTTAAATGTATTTTATTGTAAAAATATAAAGCATTTAAAATACAATATATAATAAGAATTTCTGTATATCTACAACAGAACATAAACATAATGACATTTTTCATTTGCTTATGATTGTTTTTTAAAAAATTTAAAAATCAAACCATAACCAAAGTCCATTATTATCACAAGAGATGTACAGAAAAAAAATAATCAAGAAAGCGGCTAAAATGGCTGCTGAGACATGTCATCATCATGATGACTAAGTTAAATGATTCCCTAGACATTCAAATAGTTGAATTTTAATGTTATGATACCTTCAAAAACAAATTCTTTATTTCTTATAACATCAACTGTCTAAATTCAAAATTTAATGGATATATTAGAAACACTTCGAAACTATTTATCAACATATATTCATTGATAGAGTTTCACTATCATTTAGTGCTTATGAAAATGTGCTCAGCTGCCATTTTGAAAGGGAACTGAATAGATGATTCAAGACTGAAATATATTGGTTGCAAAGTGATAGCAATACCTTATAAAGGCGTTCAAGACTGGTATTGTAAAAAATCATTCAAGTAAAGTTGTTTGGTACTCCTAATGCAGACAATATCACAGAAGTCAGTTTTATTGGCAAAATGGTATGCTTAGAAACCAATTCTATCACATACTCATAGATCAATGGGATCTCCAAGTCAATGTAATCTTCACAAATGAGATAAGGAAATCATTATCTCGTATTTCTTAATGTAATCTGTACAGGTAGTTGTAGACCAACTGTTTAGAACACTCAGTCACTGAGACCTTTAAAAGACTACTGCGGTGATACCTCAAAATTAATTAAATTATTATGTTAGGGGGCATTCTTCCTGCCTTAAATAACGATTGGTTAATAGACTTATTGTTTCTATATTCCAAATGAAACCAAAGTTCCAGACAGAATGTATCTCAATGACTGTGCCTTGAGACTTTGCCATTTTTGTTTCAAGTACTTTGACTGCGTAGGTATCCAAATATTCAACAATAAAATGTGGAAGAAATAGACAATTTTAATAACGATTCTTCAAAATATATAAATTTATAAAATAAAACAGATTCTACCAAAAATAAAACTTCCAATTTTGCCTACATTCTTCAAGGTTTTTCTCAAATATCATATTTGATTGTCATAGTTTAGGCTTAGTAAACCTCCATTTTTTAATGTTTTAGAATGCTTTAGGAAGATAAAGAACTCAAACAAGCTATTAGATAAAAATAAAAAACATGAAAGAAAATATTTACAACAATCATAATACTTTAGTCTATTAAAGTAAAATTTCTATAGGTTTCATGTACTGTAAATTCAGAAATTATTGCTAGGTTTTTATTAATGCAAATAATGCGACTGCATAAATACCATAATAATAAGAGCTTGCATTTTGATATCTAAAACACGTATCTGTATGCAGCTTTTCCTGAAATCGCAATAATTAATATCACAGTTTTGTCCATGCTTCAAAAATTGCAATAATGAATGCAGGCAATAATTTCTGAATTTACAGTATGCTGCAGACGAGGCTATACATTATCAACATTGACTGTTCAAATTATCAACTACTACAAATATTACTTCCTTGCTTTATATTATGCTTACACTATAGTAAGTACATTTAAATACTTTAGTAATCAACATTATGTAATATAAAATTTATAAACAAGTTACATAAATAATGGTTAGCTAAGGTGTGACAAAAACATTATTTCAGCTTTACTAAAGACAATAACTTAAGAATCCTAATACCTGAAATCTAAAACAGACTGAACCAAAGTTCAGTTGAAATAAAACAAATTAAACTGAAAGCAAATTTGTTTTAAACCATTAGGGATAAAACAATCTTTCTGTCCCTAATGAAATAAATCAATCAGGGTATAGAGTGTTAACACATCTGTGGTATTTGCTGTAGATTTTGCTTAAAAAAAAAATGAAATAAAACATATATCAGAATATTGTCTAAAAACAAATTTGTGCTAAAAAGGACATTATCACAGAATGATTTCTAATATTTATATATAAATAAATTAATCAATAAATAAATAAATGCAGATTAAAAAAAAAATATTAGTTACTTTAATAAATATATAGTAATCAACAGATAATATGTCAGAATTATTCCTTTTCTTAATTAATATATATAAATGTCAGTTCAGAATGAGGAAGAATACATACTGGTAGCATATTTAAGAATCCTTTCACCAATAAAACTTGATTTCAATCAAAATTCTACAAAATCTTTACTACCTGCTAACCTCTTGTTTTATATTTGATTGAAATCATCACTAAGGGTTTCCATTGCAATAAACTGACTTAGTCATATTTACAAAAGGGGGTACCCTCCTAAACTCCTGACTGGATTTTAATAAAATTTATATAGAATCTTTCTTCTATAATGCAAGCACATCTCCAATCTTATTTTCTATTTAATAATTTTTTTGGGTTTAATATAGAAAACATTGACTTAGCTTAATCTATAAAAGTGGCAGGCAATGGGTCAAGGCTTTTATATTCACAAATTTTTTACTAGTTCTATAACTTATTCTCAGTCTGAAAATGCAAGACATATTTGCTAACAGGAAGTAAACAAACAACAATCATTCAGTTATTTAACTATGCAGATACAATATTAAAACAAATTCACTGTTAGTAAAAGTTTTAAATGATAAGAAAATATAAAGAGTAAAACCTCTTTCTGCAATAAGCCTTTCTTCAAAACGTGATTATGTGATTTGCATCCATTTCAATCAAAACTTAGAATCTTCATTCAAATATTGCTGGCAAAGATCCTTAATGCATACATAAAGCACAGATAATATAAAGTATAAATACACATGAGGTGCTAACAAAACAATAATGATATTTGTTTCTATGTAATGTAATAAAATATCATAGATAGCATCTGAAACCTTACTATTCACCCTGCTTGCCAACATAAGTAAAAAGTTTAAAGATGATACATTGTATTTAAAAAAGAAAAAGAAAAAAAAAAGCAATAAGTTATATATATTTATTACAGTCAATTCTATGTAAATGCACTGGTTAATGTTTTCACTTGAAATCACCAAAATACATCATATTTCTAAGTTGTTGTGTTATTACAGTGTATATGGTTTCTAAATAGAAAAGATTTAAAATAAAACTACACAATGTGTACTTACAGAATGTATTAGTGGTATAATACATTTGTAATGGGCAGTCTGGGTGAATATGATTTATTTATTAGCTGATATTGGATTTGACTTAGCTTTCAGTAACTTGAGTATCCTTATTTCGGTGCTTTGTGTCTATTGTTTTTATGTTAGTTGTTTTGTGCCTCTTACCAATCTTTTGAGTTAAGCCAATTACAACTAATTTTTACAGTTTATTCTTACGTTGTGCTGTTACACCACTGTCCCAGCTATGGGGAAGGGTTGGGCGCTCACAAACATGTTTAACCCTGCCACATTCTTTACTATGTGCCTGTCTCAAGTCAGGAGCCTGTAGTTCAGTGGCTGTTGTTTGTTCATGTCTGTTATAATTGATTTTCGTAAATTGTTTTGTTATGAATTAGGCCGTTAGTTTCATATTTTTCCTGTCTGGCCTTTTATAGCCAACTATATGGTATGGGTTTTTCTCATTGTTGAAGACTATATGGTTGCTTTGGTTGATAGTTGACTCATTGGCAACCATACCACAGCTCCTTATTTTTATATAGGGTCATGATTCAAATTGGATTACCTCCCATTTACCAGACTACAACTCAATTAAAAAATAATGCAGTACATGAGTATATTTTTTTTGAGATACGTAAGATACTTGAGTATATATAACATATCAAGTCCTTTATTCCTGATTTGGTGGAGTCCAATCAATTACTAAATTTAATATGTCTTTGTGTCATTATATTTTCAGCATTAATCAAAAATTTAAAAGTTGCAAAATACCAGATTTCTTGTTTCACTGACATTTTCATGCATGGAATCTGCAATTTTTACAACAGATTTTTATTTCAAATTGAAGCTTGGCTACTTCTCCCTATACTTAGCATTGTATATTAAAATGTAATGTTATAAAATTAAACATTTAAAGTATTTAATACAGCTGAAACTCTTATACTACTAAAACAGAGTGCAATGTTCCTATTCAGAGATCAGCATTTTTAGCAATGAGGTAAATGCAACAAGTATTATCATGCATGGTTAACATTTTGTTAGAGTTGGATAATCTGAATATATGGCACATACTAAATAGAACACAGGCTGTATATATGCAATACAACGATTTCTTCAAGATTTAGTTTATTTTCTGTTCCAGACAGAAGCTGTCCCATAATGCAAAGTCTATCTTCTTATTCTTCTTCCTGTGATTAAACTTGTACGTTCTGTTGCTAAAACATCATATGCTAAAATGAGAATAATAGTTTGACAAGTAAAAGTGGAGTGCAATATTAAATTCAGAGAATTCTGTCTTAAGTATAATACATAGAATATAACTTTGATAAATAATCTTTTTCAGAGTTATATTATTAACAAAAAAATGAGTGGTATTATAAAATATCAACAGTTGTGTGAACCTAGAAGAATCAACTAATAAAAGTTTTATGACAACATGATTGAAGACATATGGGGTCATCAACCATAAAATTAAAAGGGATTAAAACAAGAGGCTCTCAAGAGCCTGAATCGCTCACCTGTATTTCAGAGGAGAAAATTTTTAAATGTTAGCAAACTTGATGAACAAATTGTGTAAAATTGTCTTTAAAGGGCAATAACTCCTTAAGGGGTCAATTGACAATTATGGTTATATTAACTTTTTTGTAGATCTTACTTTGCTGAACATTATTGCTGCTTACAGTTTATATATATCTATAATAATATTCAAAATAATAACAAAAAACTTCAAAATTTTGTTAAAACTACCAATTCAATGGCAGCAACCCAACAATGGGTTGTTCGATTCGTCTGAAAATTTCAGGGCCGATAGATCTTGACCAATTAAACAATTTCACCCCATGTCACATTTTCTCTTAAAGATTTAGTTTTTGAGATATAAGATAATAAAATGCTTCGCTGGGGCGCAGCTTGATACGACCGCAGAGGTCGAACCCTGAACAGTTGGGGCAAGTATGGACACAACATTCAAGCTTGATACAGCTCTGAATTTGGATTGTTATTAAATATTTGACACAGCATAGGTTTCTGACACAGAAAGAATGTGGTCTAAGAACTTGAATTTTTTTAATTTACCTATTATGGTCCAATGTCCAAAATCAAAATACATGGTTAGATTCAGCATATCAAAGAACCCCATATATTCAATTTTTGTTAAAATCAAACAAAGTTTAATTTTGGACCCCAACTTGGACAAACTTGAAAACTGGGCCCATAATCAAAAATCTAAACACATGTTTAGATTCAGCATATCAAAGAACCCCAAGAATTCAATTTTTGCTAAAATCAAACTAAGTTTAATTTTGGACCCTTTGGACCTTAATGTAGACCAATTTAAAAAACGGGACTTAAAATTAAAAATCTAAATACACGGTTAGATTTGGAATATCAAAGAACCCCAATAATTCAATTTTTGATGAAATCAAACAAAGTTTAATTTTGGACCCTTTTGACCTCAATACGAACCAATTTGATAGCGGGGCCCACAAATAAAAAAATCTAAATTCATGGTTAGATTCAGCATATCAAAGAACCCCATATATTCAATTTTTGTTGAAATCAAAAAAAGTTTAATTTTGGACCCCAACTTGGACCAACTTGAAAACTGGGCCCATAATCAAAAATCTAAACACATGTTTAGATTCAGCATATCAAAGAACCCCAAGAATTCAAATTTTGTTAAAATCAAACTAAGTTTAATTTTGGACCCTTTGGACCTCAATGACGACCAATTTAAAAAACGGGACCCAAATTAAAAATCTAAAAACACGGTTAGATTTGGCATATCAAAGAACCCCAATAATTCAATTTTCAATGAAATCAAACAAAGTTTAATTTTGGACCCTTTTGACCTCAATATGAACCAATTTGATAGCGGGGCCTACAAATAAAAAATCTAAATACATGGTTAGATTCAGCATATCAAAGAACCTCATATATTCAATTTTTGTTGAAATCAAACAAAGTTTAATTTTGGACCCCAATTTGGACCAACTTGAAAACTGGGCCCATAATCAAAAATCTAAATACATGTTTAGATTCAGCATATCAAAGAACCCCATATATTCAATTTTTGTTAAAATCAAACAAAGTTTAAATACTGGACCCTATCTTGGACCAACTTGTAAACTGGGCCCATAATCAAAAATCTAAACACATGTTTAGATTCAGCAAATCAAAGAACCCCAAGAATTCAATTTTTGTCAAAATCAAACTAAGTTTAATTTTGGACCCTTTGGACCTCAATGTAGACCAATTTAAAAAACAGGCCCCAAAATTAAAAACCTAAATACACGGTTGGATTTGGAATATCAAAGAACCCCAATAATTCAATTTTAGATGAAATCAAACAAAGTTTAATTTTGGACCCTTTTGACCTCAATATGAACCAATTAGATAACGGGGTCCACAAATAAAAAATCTAAATACATGGTTAGATTCAGCATATCAAAGAACCCCATATATTCAATTTTTGTTGAAATCAAACAAAGTTTAATTTTGGACCCCAATTTGGACCAACTTGAAAACTGGGCCAAAAATCAAAAATCTAAATACATGTTTAGATTCAGCATATCAAAGAACCTCATATATTCAATTTTTGCTAAAATCAAACAAAGTTTAATTTTGGACCCTTTGGACATTAATGTAGACCAATTTGAAAACTGGACCCAAAATTAAAAATCTAAATACACTGTTAGATTCGGCATAACAAATAAATAAATGTGATCAAAGATTTTACAAATCTAATGCGCCATACTGTGCAATTAAAGATTACTTCTTGAAATTTTTCAATATTTGAAATTTGAAAAATAAATAATATTTGAAGAATAATTCTTTTTAATTTCTGAAATCTGAAATGAGAAAAAATTGGCCCCCCACAATTTCTTTTTATCCCCCCCCCCCCCTTTTTCCCCCAAAAAAATTCTTTCCCTCAAGATATGGTCATAATCTCAATTCAAATTTCCAATGGAGTTGGCAACCATAATTACCCATTTAAATTTACCATAGTGCTAACTTAATCTATTTTATAATAGAATTAATAAAAATATAGTGTCAAATCTTTCATATGGATTTTTTTGTAAAAAAAAAAGATGAAAACATTTGCAGATATTTTTACTGGTCTTCCTTTATAAATATGCATTTCTTTAAACATAATTTAAAAGAAGTGTAAGGGAAGTAACCAAAACGTTGTATTTGGATTACCTCCCTTACACTGTTTTAGATTATCTTTATTGTTCATTAACCATTACTTTATACATAATTTAAAAGCAGTGTAAGGGAGATAATTTCAATGATGTATTTGATTTATCTCCCTTACACTGCTTTAAATTATGTTTTGTACTAAAGTATTTGTCCATTAACCAGGACAACCTTGTTTTTCCCCCTTTTTTCCCCCTAATTCCTAAACGGTTTGAGCCATAACCCCCCAAAGCAAATCCTAACCATCCCTTTGTGGTATGGAAACTTGTAGTATAATTTCAGAGAGATCCATACACCGTTCCACAGTTATTGTCTGGAAACTAGAAAATGCTCATTTTTGGCCCCTTTTTGGCCCCTAATTCCTTAACTGTTGGTACCATAACCCCCAAAATCAATCCCAACCTTCCTTTTGTGGTATTTAACCTTATGGTCAAATTTCAAAAAGATCCATTTACTTAAACTAAAGTTAGAGTGCGAAAACCAATATGTATTCGGACGACGACGACGACGGACGACGACGACGACGACGACGCCAACGTCATACCAATATACGACCACAAAATTTTTTTGCGGTCGTATAAAAACTGCATTTGACCCTTATGTTCTATTTTTAGCCATGGCAGCCATGTTTGTCGATGGATACAAACTTCGGATATAATTTATAAACAAGATACCCTAAGGAACATTTAGTTAAAGGTTGAAGGTAATTGGCCCAGTAGTTTCAGAGGAGAAGATTTTTAAATGTTAGCAAACTTGAACAAATTATGTAAAATTGTCTTTATAAGGGCAATAACTCCTTAAAGGATCAATGGATAATTATGGTTATATTAACTTTTTTGTAGATCTTACTTTGCTGAACATTATTGCTGCTTACAGTTTATATATATCTATAATAATATTCAAAATAATAACAAAAAAATGCAAAATTTTGTTAAAACTACCAATTCAGTGGCAGCAACCCAACAATGGGTTGTTCGATTCGTCTGAAAATTTCAGGGCCGATAGATCTTGACCAATTAAACAATTTCACCCCATGTCACATTTTCTCTTAAAGATTTAGTTTTTGAGATATAAGATAATAAAATGCTTCGCTGGGGCGCAGCTTGATACGACCGCAGAGGTCGAACCCTGAACAGTTGGGGCAAGTATGGACACAACATTCAAGCTTGATACAGCTCTGAATTTGGATTGTTATTAAATATTTGACACAGCATAGGTTTCTGACACAGAAAGAATGTGGTCTAAGAACTTGAATTTTTTTAATTTACCTATTATGGTCCAATGTCCAAAATCAAAATACATGGTTAGATTCAGCATATCAAAGAACCCCATATATTCAATTTTTGTTAAAATCAAACAAAGTTTAATTTTGGACCCCAACTTGGACAAACTTGAAAACTGGGCCCATAATCAAAAATCTAAACACATGTTTAGATTCAGCATATCAAAGAACCCCAAGAATTCAATTTTTGCTAAAATCAAACTAAGTTTAATTTTGGACCCTTTGGACCTTAATGTAGACCAATTTAAAAAACGGGACTTAAAATTAAAAATCTAAATACACGGTTAGATTTGGAATATCAAAGAACCCCAATAATTCAATTTTTGATGAAATCAAACAAAGTTTAATTTTGGACCCTTTTGACCTCAATACGAACCAATTTGATAGCGGGGCCCACAAATAAAAAAATCTAAATTCATGGTTAGATTCAGCATATCAAAGAACCCCATATATTCAATTTTTGTTGAAATCAAAAAAAGTTTAATTTTGGACCCCAACTTGGACCAACTTGAAAACTGGGCCCATAATCAAAAATCTAAACACATGTTTAGATTCAGCATATCAAAGAACCCCAAGAATTCAAATTTTGTTAAAATCAAACTAAGTTTAATTTTGGACCCTTTGGACCTCAATGACGACCAATTTAAAAAACGGGACCCAAATTAAAAATCTAAAAACACGGTTAGATTTGGCATATCAAAGAACCCCAATAATTCAATTTTCAATGAAATCAAACAAAGTTTAATTTTGGACCCTTTTGACCTCAATATGAACCAATTTGATAGCGGGGCCTACAAATAAAAAATCAGAGCTGATAGATCTTGACCAATTGAACAATTTCACCCCATGTCAGACTTGCTCTAAAAGCTTTAGTTTTTGAGATATAAGCCAAAAACTGCATTTGACCCCTATGTTCTATTTTTAGCCATGGTGGCCATGTTTGTTTATGGATCAAAACTTCGGATACAATTTATAAACTAGATACCCTAAGGAACATTTAGTTAAAGTTTGAAGGTATTTGGCCCAGTAGTTTCAGAGGAGAAGATTTTTTAAATAGTTTACGACGACAGATGACGACGACAGAAGACGGACGAGGACGGACGCCAAGTGATGGCATAAGCTCACATGGGGCCCTTTGGGCCCTGGTGAGCTAAAAATGTAACATTTCCTTAACATTTTATAGCAATTGGTCTCTAACATTATTTGTCAATTTAAAAAAAATTAAATCCCCACCTTTTAATCATTTGCTCTAAAAATGTAAAAAATCTAGAGGCTCTAAAGAGCCTGTGTCAACACCTTGGTCTATGTGCATATTTAACAAAGGACACTCTCCAACATTATAGACGAGAGTAGAATTCATGACAAAAATCTGTTTTTTTTTATCTTGTAATACTGATCATTAAATCTGTTTAGTTTCTCTCTATCTTCTTTAGTTTTTGCTCAAAACACAAAAGAGGGTAAAAACAAATCCTCATTTAAGGGCAATCACTCCTATAAAGAGTGACAGTCTATTAACTATATCGGCAAAATTTGACTTGTTAGTAGATCTTGCCTTGCTGATCATTTTTGGGATTTAAACTGCTTTTTTACTTGTGAAGGTCAGATTTCAATTTAACCAGTAAGTAACATTACCTCTTTCTTTCAAGCCTTTACCAAAATTTTTATACACCTTGTACAGCTCGACCATCAAAACAATCCACACAAATATTGCTAGCAGTGCTACAATGAATAACAAATTGAACATCATTCTTACTGATTTTTTTAAGTGTCTCAAATAATTATTTATACTTTTTCTGTATTAATGATTTATAAATGGCTCTTCTATAATAAGGAAAACAACTTTCTTTACCTTAAATCACTCAATCCAGTTGCAATAGACTCTTTAATGAACAGTCATATAAACCCCTCCATTATGGTTCTTATTGTTAGATGGAAGAAGTCTACAAAAGTCTTACTCATCTTAACAGGAAATGGCTTCATATATTCTTATTCAAATTGAACAAGATTACTATGCCATAGCGAATTTGTTCCCTTTACTGTGGAATATAGCTGCAATGAGTGAGCATACTGCAATAGAGCAATGATAGTCAAAGTCCAATAACTCCAGCAGAAATTGTCAAATCAAATTGACTGTTAATAAGTATGGTCCAATACACATGATTATAATTACTTACATAGAAGTGTTATCATTTATCAGGGAAAAGTTCAGATTTTGGCAATTAAACTAGAAAAAGATAGTACAAAAGCAGTGATAAGGTATCAATTTGATGACAGAAAAATAGACGCAATTACAAAACATCTTCTGAAAGTGTTACTGCATCTGGAAAATTTGAGATAATGAAATTTTTCTTGTTTTATCAAAACTAATTGCTCTTTCAGAACAAAAGAAAACATATTTATTTATTACTTCTATGTAAATCAGATGTAGTCGCCTCAAATCCTCGTGGCTGCCGCCCCTCAGATATGAGAAGCCTACATCTAATACATACAATTCTACTAAGTGTGAAATGTTTCAGCAAATAGTCTCAGATGAGTTGTGTTCAAAAGGTGTCATTGAGTTACAATAGTCCAAACATCCCATAGCTCTAGCAAAATAGTCAAATCAATAAGCATAGCTGTAAAGTGTGGTCAACTGGACATGATGAAAATTAGACCAAGTTTCTGCGACAAAGGGGAATGTCAGCTCCACCTCCCTTTTGCAAGGGACTCCCCTTTGGTTGGGCAGGATAGGTAGCCATTTTAAATAAATATATACGTTAAATCTGATGTCTCAATATGTTAAAGAACCCTTGCAACAACACTTTCAGGGTACTGTAGGTGACCTGTAGCAAGGCAAAATTTCTGCACCTATCCAGCATAACCTCTTTTTTCTACTGATACTCCAAATTTCACATCCCACAACTCTTGTGATTTTGCTTCTTAATGCCCATTAAAAATAATGATTGCCTTGCAGCCATCAACAAGGAAGTATTCAGCAATAAATTTTTTTTTCGTAAATCATTTTCTTATAAATTAAGACTAGTTTTCGTAATTGAATTGTTTCACATTTTTCATGTAGGGGCCATTTATAGCTGACTATACAATATGGGTTTTTCTCATTTTTGAAGGCTGTACGGTTGCCTATAATTGCTTAAATCCACTTCATTTGAACTTTGATGGATAGTTGTCTCATGGGCAATCATACCACATCTCCTTATTTTTATTTTCATTATGTTCCTTTACTTATAAAATGCAGCAATTTCTTTAAGATTATATTCCATTCCATTGAAAGCTGTAAGATTTTACATTCACAAATTTCTGTGAAGTATAGATAGAGAAATGTTTTAAGATACAGAGGCCAGTTACTCTTTGAAAAGAAAAATCACATTAATTTCTGAATTTACACCATTTAAATTACCTGCTGCTATTGTTGAATATACTATTGTGTGTCCTAATTCTTTGATACTTTCATGTATGTTCATATATTCCTGTAAAAAAACAATTAATTCAGGTTTAATGAAAACATACTTTTTAAAAAGTACAAGGAAAAAGCTGTTCACATTTCCTTTATAACAGCTGACATGTTTACAGCCACAAACTAATCAAAGGGCAATAACCCTACCAATATCTGAAATTTTCAGTTTTGAACATCTGATTTAGCCTGTATCCCCTATTTCTAACTCTTTTTTGTTTTTACTACGGTCAATATATTGGCATAAACAGTTTAGAAATTCCGTAATATGGATGGAACTTACTTTGTTTTCCATTATTTAACTGTTATCCGAGAAAAAATAGCTTACTTAAATTTATTCTCCATGAATTATTTGTCCAGTAGTCAAAGCCATGTCGTAAGGGAGTTATTCATCTCAAAGCAAAAAAAAGAAGTTGGTTTTAAAGAAAAAAAATGTTGCATGGGAAAACACAAAAGGAAAAATTTCAGAAAATACCAGTGTTTTCATAATAGCTCATATTACATCCATTTACAAACCTGAAATGTCAATCCTACCGCACTAGCTGTAACAATCTTAATAATATACACTACAAAATGCTCAGAGTCTGAAAAGACCATATTTTATGCCTGACCAGTAAGGTCGAGCACAGATTTTACTCGACAAGACTCGACATAATATCGACAGTACTTAACTGTACTCGACTTTACTTAATAAGTCTGATTGAGTACATAATGATTTTGGTATAGTCTGATTATGTTCTCAACCAGCCTTGACTCAGTTTCGACTCAGTCTTGACCTTGAAATTTAGTCTAGACTGGTCTGAATCAGCCCATCTAACTCAATTATATATTGATCTTACAAAATTCAAGGTTATTTGGTAGTTGGGTTCATTACTGTCAAATTAAAAGATTTAATTAATAGGTAAAAAAAGCTAGAATTTTCAGTTCTGATTAAATTCAGATAGTCAAGTTTAGATATTTCTATAACTTTTTCAAATCAACTTGGATTTTCTTCAAACTTTACAGCTATCTCAATTATAAATTGATCTTACAGAATGCCCGGTTGTTTGGTAGATTGGTGTATTGCTGTCAAATTTAAGGATTTAATTAATAGGTAAAAAAAAGCTAGAATTTTCAATTCGTACTAAATTCAGACAGTCACCTTTAAATTTTTTTATAACTTTTCCAAATCAACTTGGATTTTCATAAAACTATACAGCTATCTCAATTATATATTGATCTTACAAAATACCAGGTTATTTGGTAGTTTGTTTTATTGCTGTCAAATTTAAAGATTAAATTTAAAGGTATCTATCTGAATTAAGTCCAAACTGAAAATTCTAGCTTTTTTTTTACCTATTAATTTAATCCTTTATTTTTACAGCAATACACCAAACTACCAAACAACCTGGCATTCTGTAAGATCAATATATAATTGAGATAGCTGTATAGTTTTATGAAAATCCCAGATGATTTGGAAAAATTATAAAAACAACTTAAAGGTGACTATCTGAATTTAATCAGAACTGAACATTCTAGCTTTTTTTACCTATTAATTAAATCTTTTAATTTGACAGTAATGAACCCAACTACCAAATAACCTTGAATTTTGTAAGATCAATATATAATTGAGTTAGATGGGCTGATTCTACCAGTCTAGACTTAATTTAAAGGTTAAGACTGAGTCGAGACTGGTCAAGACAGTCGAGACTGAGTCAATACTGGTTGCGACTGGTCAAGAACATATTCAGACTATACCAAAATTATCAAGTATTCAACCAGACTTATTAAGTAAAGTCAAGACCAAATTCGAGTACAGTTAAGTACTATCGAGAATATGTAGAGTCTTGTCGAGTAAAGTACGTACTCGACCTTACTGGTCGAGCACAGAATATGGTCCTTTCAGACTCTGAGCAGTTCGTAGTGATAAACCTTGGCTTGGCCAACCCAAATAGAGCAAACACTTTACCACAATACTTACCGTGACAATCTTATTGATATAATATGTTGGTTTGGCTAACCCAAATATAGCAAACACTTTACCACAATACTTACTGTGACAATCTTATAGATATAATATGTTGGCTTGGCTAACCCAAATATAGCAAATACTATGGCACCCTTTGATAATTCTTTTCTCAACTGTAAAGAAATTAATTATTGTTATTATCAAATTTTACTATAGTAACCACTAATAAAATTATCAACAAATATATCCCCTTTTTTCCCACGAGAATGTAGGCAAAATAATTGTTTGTGATTGTGAAAGCAGTATTAAAAGATAACCCTTTTAAATTTGACTAGCTTTTGCAAGTTGAAGAAATAACTAATTGTTGTCTGGTAAAATTGGTGGCAATCACAAGACTGTTGCAGTTCTGATTTAGACATAGATAATTTTCTTCAACAAAAAAATCTCGAAAACAATTAACATGCAACAACATGAACAAAAGTTGTATTCCCTCAAATTTAGTTCAGTATGATTGCAGACCTCAGGATAATAAGCTTTTCCCAATTAAATCATTTTGGATATTAACTTTTGATGAATGTTATAAATGTATGATATGATTATAATGCTTCCATTCACTTCAAAGTTTTTGTCATTTAATTTTATCATGTATCATACTATTAACTCCATAGGTTAACATTTTGTGCCTGTACTAAGTCAAGATGTATGGCCCATGTGTTGCTTATTGTTGTTTTTATTTGTATGTCTATTTTCTCAGAAGAGTCAGATGTTGCTTGTTGATGTGTTATGTTTGTACTGTTGAGTATTGTTGGTAATTCTTGTTATTATTCTTATGTTTTAGAAATAATAAACTTTAGATACAAAATTACCAAACTGATATGATTGACAAAAACATTTAAATATAACAGTTTTTTTTTTATATATGCCTAAGGTGGCCAATGGATACCCATAGGTACCTTTGTATCCATTGGCCACCTTAAGTACCCATGGTTTGATATTTTGATAAATAAAATATCAAACCATGGGTACCTAGACCGCCTCAGGCATATATCCAAACACAGCCTTAATACCATCCCTGACCAGATTCCTAGCTACTTATTTGTTTAGTAATAGAATCAATGTTTTTTTACTGTATAAGTTGTGCTTACAACAAACCATCCAAGAATGTTCCATCCCAACGCATATGGAATACCAACTCCTAAAATTATCTCTTCCAGCAATTTAACTTTGGTCCCATTTCGTAAGATAAGAACTACAATGCTGGCCTAAAATAAATTAAATAATCTCAGTTCAAAAATAAATTTAAGACTATAACTAAACATATCATTCAATAACACTCTGTTTTCACTGTAAAGTTGCTCCTTGCTCAGATGTAAATTCAGATCACCTACTTAACATATAACTTACTAATTTTTTCTCCAAAATTGTTTCCAAACTATGAAATTAAAAACTTTCTGTTTAACAATGTTCAATAATTTTCATTGGTATTAATTTTGAAAGATAAACAATAAAAACTAAGATTAATGAAACATCAGTTTTAAACACAAACATTGTACTAACATATAAAGTCATTTCAAAATCACTAATAAATTAGCTATATATAGTGTCTAAAATGTACTTCTTAAAAGGACAAAACGTCATTGAAAAAAATTTAGATTACTTGTATGGGTCGATACAAATGCTGAGCTTCTTTATAAATTGGATACCTCTAAGGGGACAAATCATGTTGGGTAACATAATTGAAGAGATGAGTACAATAAGTAGGAATTAACTTAGAATTGAATGTAGATTTTGTAAGTTTTTAGCAGTATGGATGCACATTGTTCATAAAGTGTGGCAGAATATCTTTGCTTATCAATGTGCTACATCTTTTCCTTTTTTTTACAGGAAGAAACTTTGGGAAAACAATTTAGTGTTGATCTTTGATTATAATGCCTATGGTTATGGTCTTTAAAGATGGACAGGAATAAGCAAGAAATAATCAAAATAAAACACCACTATTTTTTCATCGATTTCTGATTTTTTATCAAAATTTGTGTTGGTATTCAGTCAGAGCTCAGACATAAATAAGTCTAAATCTGCTTTTGACTCATAGAGGTCTAAATTTGTAGGTTTCAACATTTGACTCCCTTTAATTTAAGACAAATTATGACTTCAATAAGTCAATAAATCAATTAGTGTTAAGCAAGAAATATTTGACCTGAATTAAAAAGTTGCAAATATTCACTCCTACAATTCGATAAGTTAGCAAAATTGGTCAACTTCAAGACCCAATCACATTTATAAAAAGATCAAGCATCTACATGAAATTATGACAACATTGAAAGACAATGCTTTGTTTTCTAAAGAAAAATATGCATGAGAGCCTAAAAAAACTGAGATAATGTTTATTTACTTTACAGTGCAACCATCTAAAACCACACAAAATGAGGAAAATAATCTTATGTTAAGTAAAAATTTTCAATTAGATAATTAAATATAGATAGCTCAGGTTCTTGTGAACTCTCAGCCAGGTTTATGATGTCATAGGTGGTGCACTTTGGCCACCAATTTAAATAAGTCTGAAAATGAAAACACATTTTTATAATAAATACATTTTTTGACTTCTGTAAGTCAAAAACAAAAAACTACTTGTTTATGTCTGAGCTCTAACTGGTATTCTAGTTTCCATTTATAACAACAATGTAGCAATATTGCTGGTTTGTCAAAGGCTTCACAAGAACTATTTGTTAAGTAGACACTTCAGTTGACAAGTCAAGGTTGTTTGGTTGAAAATATCATTTTGCTTTTATAGAAAACATTTCTAAGGCAATATTCCACTACAAACATACTGGATGTTGAGTGAGGTCATCAGATGTAATACAAGAGTGCACACGCTGAAATGTCTCGCCTTCTTTACTAATCATTGATATTATGTTGATAGTCCTAAATATAAAGCTTTACTACAACTATCACATACACTTAACATGATCCAAGAAAATGAGGTCAAGGTCATATAAACCAAACAAGAAATACATGTACACCTTACAATCATTCAATACACTAAATATAGTTGACCTATTGTTTATAGTTTCTAAGATACAGACTTAACCAAGAAAACTAAACATAGACCAATGAACCAAGAAAATGAGGTCAAGGTCAGATGAACAATGCCAGGCAGACATGTACTACAGCTTGCAATCCTTCCATACAACAAATACTGACAGGTACATCATAAAATATTTCCATACACCAAATATAGATGACCTATTGCATATAGTATTAGAAAAAAAGACCAAAACTCAAAAACTTAACTTTGACCACTGAACCATGAAAATGAGGTCAAGGTCAGATGACACCTGCCCGCTAGACATGTACACCTTACAATCATTCCATACACCAAATATAGTAGACCTATGGCATACTGTATAAGAAAAACAGACTAAAACACAAAAACTTAACTATAACCACTGAACCATGAAAATGAGGTCAAGGTCAGATGACACCTGCCAGTTGGACATGTACACCTTACAGTCCTTCCATACACCGAATATACTAGACCTATTGCTTATAGTATCTGAGATATGGACTTGACCACCAAAACTTAACCTTGTTCATTGATCCATGAAATGAGGTCGAGGTCAAGTGAAAACTGTGTGACGGGCATGAGGACCTTGCAAGGTACGCACATACCAAATATAGTTGAACTATTGCATATAGTATTAGAAAAAAAGACCAAAACTCAAAAAATTTACTTTGACCACAGAACCATGAAAATGAGGTCAAGGTCAGATGACACCTGCCCGCTAGACATGTACACCTTACAATCATTCCATACACCAAATATAGTAGACCTATGGCATACTGTATAAGAAAAACAGACTAAAACACAAAAACTTAACTATAACCACTGAACCATGAAAATGAGGTCAAGGTCAGATGACACCTGCCAGTTGGACATGTACACCTTACAGTCCTTCCATACATCGAATATACTAGACCTATTGCTTATAGTATCTGAGATATGGACTTGAACACCAAAACATAACCTTGTTCATTAATCCATGAAATGAGGTCGAGGTCAAGTGAAAACTGTGTGACGGGCATGAGGACCCCTGCAAGGTACGCACATACCAAATATAGTTGAACTATTGCATATAGTATTAGAAAAAAAGACCAAAACTCAAAAACTTAACTTTGACCACTGAACCATGAAAATGAGGTCAAGGTCAGATGACACCTGCCCGCTAGACATGTACACCTTACAATCATTCCATACACCAAATATAGTAGACCTATGGCATACAGTATAAGAAAAACAGACTAAAACACAAAAACTTAACTATAACCACTGAACCATGAAAATGAGGTCAAGGTCAGATGACACCTGCCAGTTGGACATGTACACCTTACAGTCCTTCCATACACCGAATATACTAGACCTATTGCTTATAGTATCTGAGATATGGACTTGACCACCAAAACTTAACCTTGTTCACTGATCCATGAAATGAGGTCGAGGTCAAGTGAAAACTGTCTGACGGGCATGAGGACCTTGCAAGGTACGCACATACCAAATATAGTTATCCTATTACTTATAATAAGAGAGAATCTAACATTACAAAAAATCTTAACTTTTTTTTCAAGTAGTCACTGAACCATGAAAATGAGGTCAAGGACATTGGACATGTGACTGACGGAAACTTCGTAACATGAGGCATCCGTATACAAAGTATGAAGCATCCAGACCTTCAACCTTCTAAAATATAAAGCTTTTAAGAAGTTAGCTAACGCCGCCGCCGCCGCCGGATCACTATCCCTATGTCGAGCTTTCTGCGACAAAAGTCGCAGGCTCGACAATAAAATAACCAAAAAATATAAGCAATATTTGAGCCAAAACAGTTCAATTCAAAGCAAACCTATCTTGAGTAATGGATTGTTCAAATACAAAACTTAAAACGGGACATTCAAAGGAGGAATTTCCTAACATTTGGTCCTAACAGGCCACATAACCACAGTAAAAATATCAAAATTGGGTTTCCTCATAATAAACAGTACCACCAGCAACATTCTGAATCAGAAAGCTTAATTAACACCAAATTGATTTCCACTGACCAAGCAGGAGAACACACAGCATATATACAGTGATAAAAAAGATCTTATAATGGCTCTTTTGTACAGTTGAGCAAAAAAAAAAAAAAAAAAAACAGGAAATATTATTAAATCTGTCAAAAATAAACAAGGAAATGGATGTCATTGATCTTTAAAATAGAATGTTAACTAGATTAGTTCATACTTACAGTTACTTGTACATCAAACTTTAGTAAACATGAAAATAATGATGCTTGGTTATATAAATCTGGAAAGGAAAAAAAGATGACTATTTTGTAATACATTGCTTAATATATATACTCCTAACATTTTTTTCTTAAAATAATTCTCTTCAAATATTTTATTTAACCATTTAATGTTTAGCCAATAAAGTCATGAAAGTTATGTAGTTTGTACTGACTTGATCAAAACTTTACAAACTAGTCCTAAACAATGGATAATAAATTGTTTTGTTATAAATTAGGCCTTCAGTTTTCTGGCTTGAATTGATTCACATTTTCATGTAGGGGCCTTTTATAGATAACTATAGGTTACGTGTTTTTCTCATTGTTGAGAGCTGTACGGTAATATAAAAATAAGAAGATATGGTATAATTGCCAATGAGACAACTCTCCACACAAGACCAAATGACAAAGAACTATAGGTCACCGTATGGCCTTCAACAATGAGCAAAACTAATACCACATAGTCAGCTATAAAAGGACCTGAAATGAAAATGTTAAACAATTCAAACGAGAAAACTAACTGCCTGATTTATGAACAAAATAATTAATGAAAAACAAATATGATATATAGCAACAAACGACAACCACTGAATTACAGGCTCCTGACTTGGAACAGGCACATACAGAATGTGGCGGGGTTAAACATGTTAGCGGGCACCCAACCCTCCCCCTAACCTGTGACAGCGGTGTAACAGTACAAAATATGAACAAACTATAAAAACTATAAAAATCAGTTGTTAAGGGCTTAACTCATCAAATCACAAAAACACAGACAGGATGTGGCAGGGTATTTAAACATCCCTACAACAAAAAAGACACTAACGACAGATTTGAGAGTACTCCCAGTTACTGACAGCCAGTTCAAAGCCAATAACAACTAACAATAACAAATCATGAATCTAAAAATAAAGTATCAATCAGCACACACATGACACATCCAGCATCCAATGGATTTAGTGAAAGACGTCATTAACAGTCAGAGAAAAACATAACCTTGTGCATTGCCATAATACAGGTATCGACAGATTGTAGAATCATGAATGTGCATATGTATATGTATATAACAATAATATTAGTTTGGTTTTAATTAACTGATAACAAAATTAATATCTATACCAATAAAAACAATATTTAAAGATCTAATTACAGTGTTGAACTGGTAGCCTTTCAGAATAAGTTTATTTAAAGGATCGATTAGTTTACCCGGATTGTATCTAAATTTCCTGGCTCGGTAAACAACATCTCTGTAAAAATTAGGATGTGCTATCCCATTTGAAATAAGTTTTCTACAGGTACAGCCAAACTTACAAACCAAATCTTTGTATGGAAGAATTTTAATATGGAAGAATTTAGTAAAGGATTTAAGTAATTTGTGGTAATGAAATCCCTGACTTAATAATTTACCAGTAATACATAGATTACGTTCATTGAAATCCAAAACGTCACTATGCCTATATATGCTAACATCCACTTCATTTGAACTCTGGTGGATAATTGTCTCATTGGCAACCATACGACATCTCCTCATTTTTATATATACAACCAATGGAGTAATATTATATTCATTTTAGTTTACGAGCAAAGAAATTAACCATTACCAATTATTATATTCTGAAATGGTGAATTAAAGAATGGCATTTGAACATTGATATTCACCATTTAAAAAAATTCAGCTTAAGGCATTGAACCCCGACTGACATTATTATAATACACATGAAAACTATTATTGTATAATACATTAATTTAACAAAAATAGGAACTTACATTGTAAGTATTCTGAAGCCCCAACAATCCTAAATTGAAGATACCCAAAATGTTTAGCCACTGACCAAGCTAATAAAATGTTTGGTGGTGCTAGAACACAGATCAGTATTAGACGAATCTAAAACACAAACAGAAACATCACTTTATTGGTATGTTGGGTAACAACAAAATAACTACTCCTTGTCAACAACTGATTTTTATTCTTTTATAAAAATAAAAAAGTTTCAAATTGATTTTTTAACTATTTAATTGTTTGATTTGTTTTTACATTATCAATAAACATCTACAAGGAATAACAATTAATCAGCAAATGATTATCTCAATCATTTTCTTCATAAATTTTTGATGTGTTAGTTCACAAGGTAACAAACAGTCTGCGGGAAGATATGTCACCCTATCCATGCTATCCATGCCATCTATCTGGACACATTAGTCCAACTGCCATTCAACAGTCTTTGCTCTCACTCCTCATTGGTGCATGCTTAGCAGAGAAGCAGCAAAAAAAAATTTTCAAATCTTTGGTTTGACTTGGCTGAACATTTAATCACCAACCTCCTGCAAGCAGACGGCCAGTAGTATATCTATGTTTCCCACACCACGTTACTCAAAGAAAAATAAAGGTTTAAAATTCAAATGATTACATTTCTTGAAATTCTACATTAATTTATTATATAGTGAAACATTGCATATTTATCAGATCTATATATGTTTCCCATTTTGTAAAGACATAAATCTAAAGTTAGATTAACAGTACCAAAATACTGACTGACAAGGTTATTATCTTTTCTTTATTATATTTACTTACAAGTTTTAATGTGGTTCTACTGTCTTTATTCAAAATGTATTCCACAATACAGTAAACCATTACTACCAAAACTGCTGCCATCAGGGCATACATCTCGTACACTCTCTCCCGTAATACACCATGGCAGGCATAAAACAAACAAAAACCTAAAATATACAGTATACATCACTACAGCATAAAACAAACAAAAACCTAATATACATCACCACGGCATAAAACAAACAAAAACCTAATATACATCTCCACATTCTACAAACAAATTGATAATATTTATTTGACTTGCATAATTCCAGTAGTGATTTTTGTTAAAGGTTATTTTTTGATAGACCTTGTTTACAAGACTACTTTTGTAACTAATACAAACAAGCATTCTGAGAGTATTGCATGGCAATACATAGTCCCTTATTATACCGCTTAAAAATTAATTGTACTGGAACAAAATGCTAACTTGATCTATAACTTGTCAAGGTGTAAACTATATAATAAATATCAAGTCAATATCTTCAAGCATGACGAAAAATAGGGTGGAAAACTGATTATTTAAGTGAATCCAAGGACCATAACTCTGCACAAAATCTTCAGACCAGAATAAAATTCGACCTTGATCTGTAACTTGTCATGATAAAACAATGTATCAATTATTAAATCAATATCTTCAAGCATGACGAAAAAAAAATGTGGAAAACTGAATATTTGAGTGAATTTTCAAAGTCCAAGGACCATAACTCTGCACAAAATTATCAGACCTGAACAAAATTCAAACATGATCTGTAACTTGTCATGATGAAACAATATACCAAATATCAAATCAATATCTTCAAGCACGAAGAAAAAAAGTGTGGAAAACTCATTTGCCGGACTGACAGATGGAGTGCAAACCTAAAGTCCCCTTCCACTTCGTCTGTAGGGGACTAATAACATACACATGCAGTACAAGTCAATGGAATGTACTGCACTTTGTGTCCCTATTGGAGATCCACAAAGGTATTTTTGTTTAAAATAAATGATAAGAATTAAGCATATTTTTGTGGAAGTTAATTGATGTGACAACTGGACTCTGGACAAATGGACTCTGATTCACAAATTAATTTGACACATGTTCATCCTGTAAGATAAAAAAAATTGGTCCAGTTATCACAGTTATAAACTTAGAAAAATGTAAAAGTTTAGTTCTTTATGATCAGGAATGATTCTAGTACTGCTGGTAAAAAAGGAACAAATCTATAGAAGTCAAAACAAAATAGATCTTTTGTAGCTAACTATACAGGATGTGTTTTGCTCATTGTTGAAGACCTGTAGTCGTTGAAATCCTTGTCTTTTGATCTTTGGTAGATATTTATCTCCTTGGCAATGTACCACATCACCTTATTTTCATATCTTATACTGTCCATATTTCTGTTTGGAAACTGAAGTAGAGAAGAATTCAATACAGTTTCAAGATACTTGTGTAAAGGAGAAGTATAACAACAGAAGAGCTATTTTTGGTATTAAAATATTGAACCTCTGAAACCTTTCATAGTTAATAGTTTTGAAGAATCAAGAATTGAGCCTACATATGATATATACATACCTTCTCCATTAGGCTTTTATTCATGTTTCAAATAAAGTTTATGAATACAATTTAAAAAGAAACAAATAAAACTGGTATTGATATGGTAAAATATTATTTTATGTATCATGGACAGATGGAAATTAACAACAAAAATCCTCTTCATAAGTAAAGTCATGAAATTTGTATTTTTACAGTATTTGTATAAAGCATTGTTGCCAGTACCTAAAGTGTATTGATCACATAATTTTACAAGTGTATTTACCTGAATTTAGCAGAAGTAAAATAATAAATGTAAAGTCTGGAGTGCCAGATTCACCATCTTCTACTAGTTTAACAAGCCTATACACAGTTAATCCAATAGCTGTCAGTATGTTCACTGTGGTGAAAATTAAGAACACCCATTCTTTTGCACTAAGTCCAGCAAATGTTTTTGTCTAAAAAAAAAATTTACAACTAAGCTGATTTATTCACATAATAGTGTTTAATTTACTCTTATCTGTAAAATTGACAAATTCAACATGGTTGAATTTCTGCTGACAAATGTCCATTTAGGTAAATGATAAGTAGGGAATATCCCCAGGGGCTAACTGGTAGGGCCCTGTGGATTATCATCAAGAACCAGTGGCAGTTTTATTTACAGAAAAGAATAGAATCAAGGTTTAGCAACTTGTAACCAAAAAATGTAATTTCTAAAATTCTAACAGAAGGGCATTGATACTCATGCCTGATCTTTCTTTCCCTATCTTTTTTTCCTCCCTTTTTTTTCCTAGACCTTAATCTCAAAACAAATTTTGGTCTAGGGCCTTTAAGAATTGGTCATGACTGGAAAATTGTATACCCAGACATATGTTATAAAATTATTTTTTGTAGTGTCAGTTTATAATTTTAAACCACGATTTGTCTTATTTGAACATCTCCAGGTGTCTCTGTCTCAGAAGTGTTTGCTCAAGCTAAAATGACCATCCTGACTAAATTTGTACATACAACAGCTCAGGTTCAATAGTAATTCTAATTGAAATGATGAAATTATATTTTCTATACAAATACACTTTTGATACAATTTTTTCAGTTTCTAATGGCATCAGTCGGTTGGTTTACGTTCCTATTCAAATTTTCTGAACTTAGATGGCTACTGAGTATTCATTGTGAGGTCATGTTAAAGGTCATTTGATTAGAGCAAGTTGAAAACAAGCATGGCATCCCAATTTTTATGGTGAGGAAGGAATCACGATTTTTCCTTAAATCTAATTTTAAAAACAACTCAAGGAATTTCGATTAAATAGTTATTTTACTAGCTGTTTTGATGCTTAATTCATGATTTTTGATTTTTTTCTGCAAAAGCTCAGTTCATATAAATATATAGCAATTCATACAACTTCCTATATATTTTCTGGGGACTGCTATTGTAAAACTATCTACAATATTTTGTTAAAAAACTACAAAAATAGAACAAAAATAAATGCTCCGCTGGGCGCAGCTTGATACGAACGCAGAGGTCGAACTCTGAACAGTTGGGGCAAGTATGGACACAACATTCAAGCTTGATACAGCACTGAATTTGGATTGTGATTAAATATATGACACAGCATAGGTTTCTGACACAGAATGAATGTGGTCTAAGAACTTAAAAAATTTTAATCTACAAATTCAAACCACATCATTATTATTTGCTTTTATATATAAATCAGAAATAACCAATTTAAAATGGAAAATTTTAAAGAAAAAAAAAAGGAAAAAAGGAAAAAAAAATCCCCCCCCCCATTTTTTGAACCCCCTTATGATTCATCACCCCAAACACTTGAACACAAGTTATTGTCTGGAAAGTAGAAAAATGCTTATTTTTGGCCCTTTATTCCTAAACGTTTTGGGCAATTACCCCCAAACACAATTCCAGCTTTTCCTTTGTGATATGGAACCTTGTAGTACAATTTCAGAAAGATCCATACACTTACACACAAGTTATTGTCCTGAATCTAGAAAAATGCTTGTTTTTTGCCCCTTTTTGGCCCCATATTCCTCAAATTTTGAGGCAATTATCCCCAAAATCAATCCCAGCCTTCCCCTTGTGGTATGGTACCTTGCAGTACAATTTCAGAGAGATTCATACACTTGAACACAAGTTATTGTCTGACAACTAGAAAAATGCTTATTTTTGGCCCCTTTTTGGACCCTTATTCCTAAACATTTTGGGCAATTACCCCCAAACACAATTCCAGCTTTTCCTTTGTGATATGGAACCTTGTAGTACAATTTCAGAAAGATCCATCCACTTACACACAAGTTATTGTTATGAAACTATAAAAATGCTTGTTTTTTGCCCCTTTTTTGGCCCCTAATTCCTAAAATTTTGAGGCAATTACCCCCAAAATCAATCCCAGCATTCCCTTTGTGATATGGAACCTTGTGGTACAATGTCAGAGAGATCCATACACTAACACACAAGTTAAGTCTGGTAGTTACAGAAATGCTTATTTTTGGCCCCTAATTCCTTAACTGTTGGTACCATAACCCCCAAAATCAATCCCAACCTTCCTTTTGTGGTATTGAACCTTATGGTAAAATTTCATAGAGATCCATTCACTTAAAGCAAAGTTAGAGTGTGAAAACCAATGTGTCTTCGGACAACGACGCCGACGTCATACCAATATACGACCTCAAAATTTTTTTGCGGTCGTATAAAAATCATCAATCAAGGACAATAACTTGGAAAAGGATTCAGTTGACAATTTTGGCCATACTGAGTTATTTGTAGATCTTGTTGTGCTTAACATCTTTGCTAACTACAATTTCTCTCCATCTATCATGTCTATAAAGATTTCTGCCAAAAATGAAAAAATGGATAAAGTCTATCTTTCAACGGCAATAACAACCATGTTGACTGTGAATCAGGGTGTGCGTTTGCCCAAAATCATGTTTGCCCCCTTACAAGTTCGCACCCAACATGTTCGCACCTTGGGTCCGTTTGCATTCTTTTTATTGGTTTTGTGTTGAATAATTTTTTAATCATGTTTTAGTTAGTGTGTTGCTATGAATAAGTTATTTTAATGTTTCAAAATAAAGTGACATTCTAAAAAAGTAAAACTGTTTCCTTTAGTGTTTTATTAATTATTTTACAAAATGAATAATAAATAAAAAATGATCCTGATGATCATGGCAAAGTTCATTCATCTAAGACTTGTAAAAGAAAGGAGGAAGATATCAAACTCTTCACAATGATTTTGCCATAACAACGAAAAACACAATAACTGAGCCACAAATCACATGATTTTTTAGGTGTTCATGGTGTAGCATGTCAGCTATAGGTATCTACAGAGCATTTATTTCCATGTGTAAAGAAGATTGAAGGTACCAACATATATATATATAAATTTTCACTTTTGTTCTCGTACTAGGAACAACAAAATTATTTAGTTTTACCTGTGTACATTATTTTATTTGGCGACATTTTGTCCAAGGTTATGGTTGTCTTTCTGATATTGTTTTACATCTAACCCCCTTGTTTTATTAATTTTGTATTTACATTGTGTAATAGATCAAATTTATTCGTTCAGTGTATGTTCACTGGTTTTTGTTAATATGTCTTTTGATTGAGTTAAGCCATTTCAATTGCTATTGTAAAGTGTGTCATTTTATGTTGTGATGTTACACTATTGTTTCAGGTAGGGTGAAGGTTGGCGCCTATTAAAATATTTAAAACCCCTGCATTTGTTTGCACCTTTCCTAAGTCAGGAACCTGATGTTCAGTGTTTGTCGTTTGTTGATGTGGTTAATAAGTGTTTCTCGTTTTTTTATATAGATTAGACCGTTGGTTTTCCTGTTTGAATGGTTTTGCACTAGTCATTTTTGGGGCCCTTTATAGCTTGCTGTTCGATGTGAGCCAAGGCTCAGTGTTGAAGGCCGTACTTTGACCTGTAATGGTTTACTTTTACAAATTGTGACTTGGATGGAGAGTTGTCTCATTGGCACTCATACCACATCTTCTTATATCTATCTGATGCTTATTTGGTGTTGTATTACACCTATCATTTACGATAGAGCATATATAGCATTTAGTTCCATCCATACAATGTATGTAAAGAAGCTTGAAGGTACACTATGAAGGTAAAGAAAAAATTAAGTTATATATTTGATTTATTATTATTCATTATGATATCATAGTATCATACATTCCAAAAAGTATTCAAAACAATTAATATTTAATCATCCAATCATTAAAGAAATATTTCATTTAACGTGTTTAAAAATTCCCGAATATTTATTCATGAAATTATAAATATTTTGACATATAAGGTAGCACAATACAAAAGCAACTAAATTGTATCAAAATTTCATTTTCAGCTGTTTTTATTACTTCTTAATATTCCAAAACCACAGAAGAAAAATTTATTTACATATCTTGGACTGTAAATGAGTTTTGATGATAATTAGTTTTATAAACAAGTACAGGTGTCTGACTGATACAAGATAAGAACATGTGGGCAGTACTTTGTGGTTTATCAATAGAATCATTTGATAGCTTTATGACCACTGACCAGAATAAAAATAACAGTTATGAAAGTGAGGTGGATTAGGGGTTAATGGAAAAATGAAGATAATGAATTCCAAATATTGGAGCTGCCAGGAGAAAAAAAACAAAACAATAATTTGGAGATATAGAGGGAATCAAAACATAAATACACAGATATTAAACAAATGTAATATGTACTTTGTGCATGTTGTGTAAAACACCATTTTGTCATTGTATACGATTATAATTCTAGAAATCCCCCATAAGGATCCTCTAGACTGACCAACTGATCATTTTGTGTCCACATGCATAACTTACTTTTTGTAACAATGAAAAAAACTAAATATATTATTTTATGTACTAAATGAATAAAATCCATATTAAAAAAAGTAAATGCAATGTGTAATTAAACTTCTGAGATCATTAATAGTAAAGGTTTATCATGGTGGGAGGAGTTTTGACCATATCAGTAGCAATTGACTTACAGCAAGGTCAATAATGATACAGTAGACTCCGGCAAATTGGATACCCAAAATGTCAGCTAAAAAATAACATCTCCCGCCAGATTTGATTTCTGATGCATAGGGTGTGCATTTTCTTTATATATTTAGAATTGCTGAAATGGAATGCTTTCTTACTGGTCAAAACCTAATTGATTTATGATTAAAGGCCAATCCTGAAGTATCCCCATGGTACATGTGTAAATTATATTGAAGTTACACTGAACTGCAGTCAAGTTTAGCGTTTGGTTATTCATTGATAACATTCTGGCGTATCACAAACAAACAACTTGTAACGTCTCATTTCATTGGCCGAAAAATTCAAATACGACAACAATCGTAGTGTGCACGTGAATTGACACAGGTGACCTACAATGGAATGTACTATGTTACTACGAACGTAAAAAGAATTGAATAAATGTTTTTTTTAATGCTGCGTCGTTGCCTGATTTTCAAGTAGTGGGGTCGAAATATTATTGTAAATATCAAAACAAAAGATTGAAATGTAACATTGGCGAGGATTTTTCTTTTGCACTGATGTGTGAAACTAAAAAGATAAAAAAATAAAAATACTTGTGAGTAATGATGTCGTTGTTTATAAGAAACAAAATAAATGTACTGTTTTGATTTTAATTGTCTTTTGATTTCATACTAAGATGAACCTACAGAAAGAATAGAGCTTTGCATAGCATTTTTGTGCCCGTGTTGTTTTATGCAAATACAAAAAAAAATGTACATATACACAATTGATTATGAATAAAATTGAATCATTAAAAGAAACATCCACATGTTCTTTTATAGTCTCTTAGTAGTTTTAACCTATTATAGTAAAATATATTTTTTTGTATATGCCGTGGTTAAAATGTAACAGTCACAATGTTATCAAGACGAAGTATTTAAAACATATTTCATTAGCGGATTCAGATGTAGGATACTGGTAGTACATCTAAAAAATATTTTGTTTTCCAAAAACTAAGTATAAGTTTATCGAGAAAGATACAATATTAATAGAAATACAATAAAATTAAAGGTACACAAATTTAGTATATAAAAATAAGGAGATGTGGTATGATTGCACATGATACTTGGTCTTCTATGTAAATATTTACAATATATAATGTGTGTCGGTTTTTCAATTGAGAACAGCAAAACAAATAATTATAAATTCACCAACTATATATCATCGGAGTAACATTTCCTTTCACTGCGCCAATGTTTTGCCATATCCATTTTTCTCTAAACAAAGCACTGTTACCTGCTCTGAATTTACTAAGAATTTCTGGATTTATTTTCAAAAGGAAGTAAACTGAATTAGAAAAAAAACACTATCCCAAGTTGAATCCCTAAAACCCAATTCTACCTGCCTTAAAAAGTTACTAGATTATGCAATGAAATTATGTACATGTATGTAAATGTAAGTTTTCATCTATAACTAGAATTCCTTTTTTTTTCTATTGCTATGTAGTTTCATATCTACAAAAAAGGTTAAGTATAATTGAGCCTAGTTTAAGGGTCGATGAGTTGGCTGTGATAAACTGGCGACGGAATATGAATAGTTTTAATTATCCAGAACTTTTGAGGGGTGACAGTTGGATTCAATATTTAGTCGTGAAAACCGTTTAGTCTTTGTATATAATAAATTCAAAAATTTAAATCAAAAAACCTTATTAAAACTATTGCACAAAATTATAGTATTAATAAATTTTACATGCGATAATGCACTTTATATAAGCTACATGTAGCATTGCCATGAGTATTAGTAATAAACTGTGTATTAAACTGTGTACGCGTGTTCTAATTTTGCAAGTGTGCTTTGGCGGCGGGGATTGAAAGTTTATGTGAGGTCAAAGGTTTGAATTGACCAATGACAACGATCGTTCCTTAGCGAGTTGGTCTAATAAAGTTTGTTTGACTGATTACATTGCACGGCCTTTCGCTAAGCTTGGCCGCAGTTAAGTGTAATGGGGTACAAGTAGGAAAATCCTTTTTTATTCAATTGTGACACATTCATTTTTGTCATGAAAATGTAGTTTTAAATGAATTTAGCTCCTAGATGGGTGCCCCTATATGCCTGATTTTCACACATGTTGTTCTTTGACCAGTTATCTTCAAAAGGGTGTCTCAGATTTCCAAAAACATCAATAGAACTAATTTTATACCCAATTAAATTTAGTGATCTCTTATGAATTGATGTTGCAAACTTCATTGAAGGTTTATGAGAGAATGAAATACAATAGGAAAAATATGAGACACCCTTTTGGAGGTCAAACTGTGTTATACAAGAATCTATAAAATATTTTGGGATGCTATGAATAGCTAAGAAGCTAATTTCATTCAAGTGTGGACATCACAGTATAGCAACTAATTACATAATAATTAATTATGTAATAATCATGTCATAATGAAATTATCACCATTTGAAAGATTAATCTTTCTTCTTTCTTTTGGTACCTCATTCAGTCAGGGGTACTACTTGTACAAGTAATTTTTATTTACTTGAAGAAGTAATTATAATATACTTATATAAGTAAATTTGTAGGATACTTATACAAGTGTATTTTATTAACTTGTATAAGTAAATTATTTTTTGCCCTAGCTATGTCCCTTAGACATTCAGATTTTTTTACTTATACAAGTAAAAAAGTCATCCTATCTTCTTTTCTTGAATTCTTAGAACTTCTTTGCTCTAACAGAATTTTGAATTGTCTGTCCTTTGCAGATGTCTTTACTATTCATTTAAGTGTAATTTCATGGACAATGAAAATCTCATTTGTCTGTTATCTTTAGAACACTGCTCATTTACAAGCCCCCAAGGAGCAATTTTTGAAGGCCTTGCGCAAATACTTAAGATCTTTGCTCAATCAGATTCTTTGTTGAATTAATGAGATGAAACATTGAACTCTTATCAAAAATTATGAGCTAACCTGAGAAAAATTGTTAAAGGCATGATTTTACATCTCAAAACTTGAGAATTTTTGTGGGATTGTAAAAAAAAATTTACTTATACAAGTAAATTTTTTTGAAAATTAAGGGGAGATTATTCAAACAATATAATTAACTTGTATAAGTATATTTTATTTACTTCTTCAAGTAAATAAAGATTACTTGTACAAGTAGTACTCCTGACTGTCATTTATAAAATTTAAAGCTGGATGAAAGAAATTACATCAGTTTAAAGTTGTCTGATTGGGGGTGAACAAATCTTTGTATTGTGCTACCTTAAATGATAAACATCTAAAAAACATAAAATAATTCAACCGGTATTTGAATATAAAAATAGGGGGCGAACGTGTAGGGTGAGAACGTGTATTGGGAGAAAAAAAACCAAAAAAAATCAAGTCAAAGGGAGTTCAAAGTAACTTTTAACATAATAAAAGCAAAATTTAGTTCAACATTTATCTTGTAAAGAGAATATATTAAAAGTAATACTTGTTATAAAAAAAAAATGGCAAAAATTACATGAAGCGTAATTATCAAAATAAACACTGAAAATGTGGATAAAAAAGCTGTTAAAAAATCTTCAGTTATGAGGTCCAAGCTCCAACTGAAAATGATCAAATCTCCAGTTGTAACTTGACTACTCTGTTTACATGTTAGCAAATTTACATGTTCTTGTATTTATAGTTTCACGTTGACTGGTTGATGTTTGGACATAATCAGATAATATATTGACTTGTTAGTTATACTATTCCCAGGTTGATGTGACCACGATTTCATGGTAAACTACAGGGTGGGGAAATTAACAACAGGATGTGATATATCTGTATATTTGATGAAGTGAAAGTGGCATAATTGCCGACAAGCATGTGATGATGAGTTCACCTGTCCTATTGGTGTTACCACCGTTGTCTTTGGTATATTTGTTATTCCATATTTAGAATAAGTATCAGATGAGTCAATGGAGTCTCTACTTCCACTAGCCGATCCACTACCATTTGCTGCTGCTTGGTCCATTCGTAAATTAGTTGTATCTACTTCCATCGTCTCCCATTTTTCAAGTTTTCGTCACATGACATGAAGCTATAAAAAGAACAAACTCTCTGGCCTTTTCTATAAAGCACATCATTCCGAAAATTCCCGCCATAATTTACGCTTGATACAATGACCACTCAGCTCTTAATCATGTCAGAGACATTTATACACAGTAGTCATTGGATATTGTAGATCATTCAAATAGTCTTGACCTTTTTATTAGTACAACAGAACAGCCAGTAGTCATTGGATATTGTAGATCATTCAAATAGTCTTGACCTTTTTATTAGTACAAAAGAACAGCCAGTAGTCATTGGATATTGTAGATCATTCCGGTAGTCTTGACCTATTTATTTATACAAAAAAAAACTGCCAGTAGTAATTGGATACTGTAGATCATTCAGGTAGTCGTGACCTATTAATTTGTACTGAAAAAACAGACACATATACGAATATCAATTATATGCTTACGAGACATGTTGCAATGTTAAACTTATTACGGTATGTGAATATCAAGACTTGCATAAAAAATATCACAATATTAGAGACAGTGGCGTCATTTTTCCTATTAAGTCTTTAAAAAACTACAAATAATGACAGATTCATATTCAATATTTCATGGCAGCAACAATAGTGATTTCGACAACACTATAGATAATGTACGTTCATTTAGGAAATTCATGCAAAGGTTCCACACATAATGTAATTCTAGGTCAATCAAAAATTAAACATTATAATTAAATTAAAACGGATATAAAATCAGTTTTCCACGAGACAAAATTCTACTGGCTACATATTTTTTTTTATGATAAAGTTGCTTTCTGATTTCTTTTTTTGACATGTTAAATGACTATTTTTGTTCCTGATTGAATACTATAGTAGAATGTAGGACAGAAAGTCACAGGACAAAAAGTCACGGACAAAAAGTAACGGACGAAAAGTCACAGGACAAAAAGTCACAATTCAGTTTTGAGATTATTTTTCTCTGCACAAAAAAACACTAATTTTTAAAAATAATTTTTTTATTTTTTATTGAACTATAATATATGAAGCAACTTTGTAATTAAAATTTATTCAATAAATATCAATGATGATCAAATAATTGTTATGATAACAAAATGTCAAAGTGGTTTGGCACTTAAATGGCTTCATGGTGCCAAGAAATATATTATTTGCATGATTAAAATTTAATAATTTTTCATTTATCAAGGCTTATGAACAATTTCCTGAACTTAAAAATGAATAAATGTAAAAAAAGAAATTATTTGAAGATCTTTCTCTTATATATTCAAACAATTGTCAATAAATTATTTGTGACTTTTTGTCCTATCCAATTTGTGACTTTATGTCCTGTGACTTTTTGTCCTGGGACTTTCTGTCCGTTTACCCTATTCATAGTATAGCCCAGTGTTTCTGTTAAAATAAAGTTCTGGTCATGGTTAAAATAATATGTCAGAATTTGTTTAGTTGTAAAAACAATTACCAAGTAATAATCCACTTAGAACTTCACCTCCGGCAAAATTCAGGTGATCGGAGGGCAATGAATTGCGTAATCGCACACCTGTGAATCCACAGTCACAACTCTAAGGAAATAATGACCGGAAAATCGGACACACATAATTTCACTGTGTTATTAAGAAGCAAACTTTAGCAAAGAAATGTTTCTTGTAATATCATGGTCATTACCAGATTTTACTTTTTAGATTAAAAGAAATGCCGAAAAAAAGAAAAAAAATATTTTCTCAATCAAATACATTAAAAAAAAAAAATATTTCAAGTAGTTTTTTAGAAAAAGAATTTATTTGATCTGAAATAAGTTTTGCTATTACTTTTCTTGATTAGCTATCGAGGTTATTCATCCCTGACTTGTCTACATGTTGTAGAATAATTATCGACGAGAATCTCATTCCGGGCCGCGGTTTTTAACGGGATTTCACGGAGTTGCCAATCTCTGTGTACATATAATAACAAATAATGTCTCTGATCATGCGGTTCACGGACGAGAATTGTAAATTCGCCAAAAAGGCAATCATAAAAACAGATAACAATGAAGACAGAACATAAGACATATTTACATATATATGAATTAAAAACCAATTATTTGTATCGCGACAGATATTACAGTGTAATTTACTTTCCTCTAAAGTAATTAAATTAATTGAGGAGAACATCTTTGAAATGGGTTTGTCATCTGTACCTTTAATAATAATAAATTGGGACAACTGTCATCTTCCTGACCTGGCGCAGAGTCATCACATTTTATTTTTGTTGTTGTTGAAGCTGATTGAGAAGGTTGGTTTTGGGAGAACAGCAGGGGCGTGTTTTATTGGTCTCTTGTGTACATCTCTAGAATGTCTTCTGGTGAAGAGTCCAAAAAAATGAATCTGGACCTCTTCTGGAGATATTCTGTAGAAGAAGCAATAAAACACAAATTCAAATTGCCGTCGAATATAGCAAGAACATCTTGTCTATCATTTTTTTCTAATTAATCAAGCTGGATTATTTTTGTATCGCTAAAAGATATCGCAGAGTTCTCAAAATCTTTTTCCCTGGTGGTCCTTGAAGAAAATCTACTAGTCCTAACTATTATTTCTATTGCAAAATACTATTATTTTGCCGGTCCTTGCAAAATGTCAATGGACTAAACTTTCAGACCACCACTTTTCGAGAATCTTAATTGTATATGTATACTGTGAAGGTATACAAGTTCATGGCGTTTCTCAGACTGTTTATAACTAAATCCGTTGGTTGTATACTGATTGATTCTTTAGTCTGGGAAAACATGATTCATTTATTAGTTGTAATTGGCTTTGAACAAGCTTTCAGTAACTGCAAATACTCTTATTTTGGCTTTGTGTCTATTGCATTAATGCTAGTTGTTTTTTGTGTCTCGTACCGATCTTTTGAGTTAATGCAATTGCATCTGATTTTTACAATTTTTTCTTATGTTGTACTGTTACACCACTGTCCCAGTTTAGGGGGGGAAAAGGGGTGGGGGGTTGAGAGCTATCACAAACATGTTTAACCCTGTCATATTCCTTATGTGTCTGTCCCGGAGTCACTGGAAACTTGTCGTTGGTTCATGTCTGCCGACTCATATTTGATTTTTTGTAAATTGTTTTGTTATATATAATTATATACATAGGCCGTTAGTTTTTTCGTTTGAATTGTTTCACATTTTTCATGTCGGGGACTTTTATAGCCGACTATCCGGTATGGGTTTTTGTCATTGTTGAAGGCCGTATGATTGCCTATAATTCCTTACATCCACTTCATTTGAACTCCAGTGATAGTTGCCTCGATCTTTGCCACGCAATCATACCACATCTCATTATTTTTATATTATATACCTGACTTTTAAACTCATGTTTTCTTGAACATGCATGAAATATTTGTCACTGGACGTTGAAAATAAGCAACCAATAATCAATCAATTTAAACTCGTGTTAAATAAGGGGAAAACCATTGATTTTATTAAATGGGGGTTTTGAATATGAATATGGTGACCTGGTAAGTGCTGAAAAAATAGGCGTGCTTAGCGGCAGATTAAAATGAATAATAAATCCACAAAAGATCCTCCTGCCCCCTCCCCCTCCACAAAATATCAAATAGTCGTCCCCTTACTGTTATTCTGTGTAGTTCTTATATTTATCCAGCTTAACGTCCCTACATGGATGGCCTACTAAGGCTGCCATACCATAAAAAAGTTTATCACACAGCTTACATTCTATTATATCTGCATTCATAAATCTATTAATGTCATTTAGACTAAACGACGCCATGTTTGTTATGTTCCTCTGCCGTCTAAACTACCTATTTAAAAGGAAGAGGTAGAAGAGAGACTGAAGATCTTCCCAATGCAAAAAAACAGAAATGGACCTCTTCTGGCTCACTACCGAAGAACAAAAAAACACGCCCCAGCTAAGAATCTATGTAAATTTATTTAAAATGATGCAACGCAATTGAAATCCTAAGTAGCAATTAGCAGATTGCAAACTCAGGGTATTTTATGACACGGGTGAAATAAGGGGTCACAAAATGCCATATTACCAAAAACAGTCAATTGACCCCTTAAGAATGCTGCCCTTAAATGAGGGGCCTGATGGGTTATTTTCGTTCTTCGTGATCGGCGCATTATCGCTATCGTGATCCGTTTTTCTACAGATTTTTTTTTTTTATCTTTTCGTGATCCGTGATCATGGAAATTTATTGACAAAAAACTCGTGAATCGTGACGAGACCCCCCCCCTCTTAAATGACGATTTTTGACATGTTTTTAGGGTTTGTCATAATATTTAAAACCATGTTAGTTATACAGAAAGTGCAATCAGCACACAAAAATGATTAGCATATCATGATCTTCATCAATACAAATATAAGTCAAACTACCAAATGACTACTTATAGGAGTAATTGCCCTTAATGACAATTTCAACTTGTGACATGTTATTTTGAAACTATAACCAACAGACAGAAATTACACAGAAAGAAGAGAAAAACAGAAAAGTTCAGCTATACAACATATGTAAAATGCCGAATAACTTATTTGTGATTGTAATAGTCAATAGACTCCTTATATCACACCCGGTTTTTTGATGGTGTTCGTGCTCAGTCTTTTTTTTTCAATGTTGTGTTTTAAAGACTTCTGTTTGTCTTTTCCTCGTTTTTCTCTTTTTTCTTCCTTGACATTGTATGTTCAACTTATGCATTTGATTGTCCCTAGAGGTTTAGTATCTTCGACTTCCATTTATAGGAGTTATTGTACTGAAATGGGATTGTTGACAAATTTAAATGTTTCTGCATACTAACTTGCAAAATAATATAAAATCGATATCAATTGTATTGGCAAAAATGATCAGCAATACATGATCTTCCAAAAATGTTATACAAATGAAGCCACCGATTGACTACTACAAAACTGCTTATTGATTGAAACTATCAATTGACACCTTGCAGGAGGGATCGCCTCCAAATAATATTTTTAATAACCAATTAAAACGCATAAGAACGATATGTTCACGTGTCTCCAACATTTGATATTTAAACAT